GGAAACCCGCATAAGTGGAACTTGTATCATACATTCCAAGCAAGCAGCCCCACTGCACTGGACAGATCTAGTCCACCAGGCCCCATGGTCAGTAGGCAAGAGGCTAGCCTGCAGTCCACTCCAAAAAAAACGCTGTCCTGGTCGGGTCTGTCACACGGTCCTACTGTGTGCGCTCGTTCAGGGCATGCGTGCTCCTTCATCACGGCCACGTCTCCTGTTACCACTTCCAGTGATTGATGTCACAGCTGTCAGCCCATTGTATCCACACCACCCGAGGAGCTTTGGAGGCCTCCAGCACGGCCAAGGCTGAGGAGTGCCTGAGTTTACCAAACACAATGGGACCGAATCTGTTCAGTGCAGCGGGGCTGCTTGGTTGACATACATAATACAAGTTCTACTTATGGGAGTTGTCATGTTTTTTCTTACTACACTCAGATGGCGCTGCTTGTTTTATTCCTTTGATGTTTCTACGGAGTTGCTTCTAGCTCCTTCAGCCAGCAGCCACTGAATAATGTAGTTGGAGTCTTTTTGACTATTAGAGAAGTGGAGTTCTTGGGGCGCATCTGCCTTGGAGACCAATGGAGGGAGACAGTGGGAATAGGCACTAGAGCAGCACTTCCAGGAGTAGAAGCAGACTCTGGGCAGGACAGAAGAGTGTTCTCGTTCTCTTCTCTCTTTTTGACTATTAGCTGAATCTATCACACAACTCTTTTAGCACTATCCAAGCATGATTTTGTCATACTGGTTCTCCATTTGACACTGGTTGTCCCCTTACCTCTCAGTGCATCACTGTTTTTTTGCTCATCGTATGTGTCAATGGATGCAGACAGCCCAGCTAGCGAGTAAGCCCACAGGTGTGCCACCATAGGAAGTGACTTCCTATAGTGGCACACAGAGAAGTGGAGGAGCCAAAATCCCCAGCAGGGGACCCCAGAAGGGTGTTTCCAGGCTGCTATGTGCAATACATTTGCACAGAGTAGGTAAGTATAACATTATAATTATTTTAAATAAAAAAATACCCTTTACAGCCACTTGAAGCTGGCAATACATGGTTCTGAATTGATTCTGAATTGACACCTTGAATGTGTGGATGGGGGAATTTTCCCCACTGTGCTTCTTCACTTTTCACCACTGTAAATTACTTCTGTTCAAACACCATTACCACTCCTCATCATGTTGATTACTTTTATTAAGTACCTTGAGAACACAATGGAGGAATAGAGATTTTACATCTCTGCATAGTTTTGAAAAGGTACATACCAGCCAGAGTCTTTCCAGATGCCATGATTCAACCTGGAACCTTCTGCCACGATGTCCCTAGAGGACAACACCTTAGATGCCTTATGGTACATGGTGAGGTTCCACAAATTGGGCTTCACTTTCCTAATTGTGCATCGTCCATGCAAGCACAATTGAGATGCAGATTAAACTTTACTAAACACCTAAATCCAACATTCATGTTATTTGTGGAGCCATTTCAAGGAACACAAAATTGACTTCTGTTCAACCACTATTACCACCACTTCATCATTTCGATTATTTTTAATAGGTACCTTGAGAACCCAATGGAAGAATTAAGATTCTACATCTTTGCACAGTTTTCAAACGGTCCATACTAGTAGAAGTCTTACCAGATGCCATGATTCATCCTAGAACCTTGTCCTATGCTGCTTCTAGAGGAAAGCACCTTCAATGCCTTATGGTACATGGTGTGGTTCCTTGACCACAAGTTGGACTTCACTTTCCTAAACAATTGTGAGTTGTCTATACGAGCACAGTTGATACGCAAATCAGATTAAGCTTTGCTATGCACCTAAATCCAGCACTTGCCAACATAATTGTTATTTATGGAACCATTTCAAGGAACACAAACTCGACTTCTGTTCAGACACTATTACTACCCTTTCATCATGTCAATTATTTTTACTAGGTACCTTGAGAACACAATGGAGGAATGAAGATTCTACATCTCTGAACAGTTTTCAAAGGGTGCTTCCCAGGAAGAGTCTTACCAGATGCCATGATTCAACCTAGAACCTTGTGCCATGCCATCCCTAGAGGGCAACACCTTCGATGCCTTATAATACATGGTGGGGTTCCTTGGCCACAAGTTGGACTTTCTTGAACAGTTCTGAGTTGTCTGTACAAGCACAATTGATACGGAAATCAGTTTAAGCTGTGCTAAGCACCTAAATTCAGCACTTGCCAACATAAATGTTATTTGTGGAGCCATTTCAAGGAACACAAAAATCAATTTCTGTTCAACCACCATTACCACTTTATCATATCAGTTATATAACTAGGTACCTTGAGAACACAATGGAAGAATAAAGATTCTTCATCTCTGCACAGTTTGCAAACGGTTTATACCAGTAGGAGTATTACCAGATGCCATGATTCAACCTAGAACCTTGTGCCATGCTGTCCCTAGAGGGCAGCACCTTCGATACCTTATGGTATATGGTGTGGTTCCTTGGCCACAAGTTGGACTTCACTCTCCTAAACAATTGTGCCTCGTCTGTACAAGTACAGTTGATACGGAAATCAGTTTAAGCTTTGCTAAGCACCTAAATCCAGCAGAGAACATTCACTTGCCAACATAAATGTTATTTGTGGAGCCATTTCAAGGAACACAAAATCTGCTCGAAAAAAAATGCAGTTTCTGTCATATATGAAGTGTGAGATCTGACAGACTGACAAATTATAGAAGTTAAAATAAATCCAGAATTCTAAAAGTGAAAAACACATCAAGCCTTTATCCCATGACTGACAATTACTAAGTCTAGACAAAAGCACTTATCTCATTAGGCTGTTACTATCGGCCTGGCTCACACAGGAAAGGGGAATCTTATATCTCTCTCTATGGTTTCCAAAAAGGCCTGAGTGGGAAAAAACGAAGTGCTAAAATTAAAGAAAAGTGGTCAATTTAACCTGGGATCTGAAAATCAAATGCAAGGAAACAAAACCGCTACCCAACAAAGGAAAAATGTGGTTGGGTAATCTACGTTTACCAAAACAACAAATCCCAGAAAGAAGAGTCAAAGACCATTATGGTGTATAAATTAGAAGTTATGTTAAATTGCAGAGTCGGAGAACAGACTTGCACAATGTACTTCCCCACACATCTCCAGTTAGGAGTGTGCAGTTGCTCTTTGTTTGCCAAGAGAGACACTCTATTAAAGTAAAACAATCCATTATGTCTAAGATAGAAATGAAAGGCAAACCATTTTTGTATAGATATAAAAAAAACACTATAAATACCTTTTTCCCCTTTTTTATAGGTGATCACATACCCTCTGTTCTCAGTTGCATACAGAGGTGGGGGGAGAAACATCACTATACTGGTCTTCCCAGTGAATGGTTGTGAGGGTGGGGGGTGTGTTAGGACAAATCTGATCATTGGAGGGGAAAAAACTGAATTCCCAGCACAGCTAGAGAACTGACCACACTGTGTTCTCTTACCTAGCGTGGTCAGTTTTTAATAGGAAAGCAGAGGGACTGGCAGGAACACCAGGGATTTCTCACAAAGGAAGCAATGCAAAGAAAACAGGATATGTTTTCATACAAGTACATGGTACAGCCGGCACATATCAGGAATATGAAATGTTGGGTTTACAAATTCTTTAAAGCCTAACTAATTTTTTTGGATAGAGTGGACAAGAGTTTAAATTTCTGCTAGAATATTATTTCTAACTGTGACACCATTGGGGAGATTTTTTCTCACTTCCTGTCCCTGTGACACGGGTACAATAAATGTGTAAGAGGGGTTAATTTAGCAGTATACCTTATGCTGTGGTGCTGGTTTTGTGCCCTCTTCCTTTCGGTGTGCTCCTCTCTGCCCTTTTGTGCTCAAACTATAGTAGATGATTTCTATAGTCACAGCATACACTTTTTATTATATGCCATCAGCATTGTAATAACAATACAAACAATAGTTTACACAATAATATATATATATATATATATATAAATAAAATATATATTACATAATCCAATCCAATCTTACCTGATAATCCCCCCTTTCATGTTGTTAGCTCTGCTTGTCTGCTGACCATCTCTTTCCACAACTTCCGTGCACACTTTGCAGCTTCTGTTCAATTTCTAAGGACTATATGTCCCATGGTACCTTGCTGCCTGCAATCAGTGATTCCTGTTCTTACTCCACCTCCTGAAACTCCTCCTCTCAGCTCCTCTGTAGTTCAGAAGGCAGGCTCTGTGAAATGCATGACACAGCAGTGCCTACTCACAGGGCATAGTGACTACGGGTCACAGAATTCAAGGAAGTAAATTTGTAGGGATCTTCACAAAGTAAAGTGGAAATTTAAGATTGTTCCGATTTATACAGAAGGAGTAGGCTAGAAATAATTAAAATAAAATGTGGAAATGAATATATCATTTTAAATTTTTACCATATAGACATACTTTAACAAGGGGGGGGGCAGTTGCCAGGCTTGGAGAAATAGAGAGGCTTCTGAACCAACCATGTAAGTGGACCTGGACACTGTTCTTCCCCTATAATAGGGACATGTTTTCATTATCTAGTCTTCCTTTGAAAATTAAACTCATTGTACTCCTGGGGAGCTGAGATTATTAGTGCATTGCAACCCCCCCTCCATGCGGACACAGTACAGGAGATAACCAGAGACTGCGGATACAGTACAGGGGATGACCAGAGACTGCGGACACAGTACAGGGAATGACCAGAGACTGTACAGGAGATGACCAGAGACTGCGGACATAGTACAGGAGATGACCAGAGACTGCGGACACAGTACAGTAGATGACCAGAGACTGCGGACATAGTACAGGAGATGACCAGAGACTGCGGACACAGTACAGGAGATGACCAGAGACTGCGGACAGTACAGGGAATGACCAGAGACTGCGGACACAGTACAGGAGATGACCAGAGACTGCAGACAGTACAGGGGATGACCAGAGACTGCGGACACAGTACAGGAGATGACCAGAGACTGCAGACAGTACAGGGGATGACCAGAGACTGCGGACATAGCACAGGAGATGACCAGAGACTGCGGACACAGTACAGGAGATGACCAGAGACTGCGGACACAGTACAGGAGATGACCAGAGACTGCAGACAGTACAGGAGATGACCAGAGACTGCGGACATAGTACAGGAGATGACCAGAGACTGCGGACATAGTACAGGAGATGACCAGAGACTGCGGACATAGTACAGGAGATGACCAGAGACTGCGGACACAGTACAGGAGATGACCAGAGACTGCGGACATAGTACAGGAGATGACCAGAGACTGCGGACATAGTACAGGAGATGACCAGAGACTGCGGACACAGTACAGGGGATGACCAGAGACTGCGGACACAGTACAGGAGATGACCAGAGACTGCGGACAGTACAGGGGATGACCAGGGACAGTGCAGGGGATGACCAGAGACTGCGGACCTTGGGGAGGGAGGGGGAGTGGGTACCTGCTCCCACTTCCGCGGAGTTGTCTTCCCTTTAGTGTGGGTACCCGGCTGTGACAGCTGGGTACCCACTACGCATGCGCAAGAAGCACTGCACTTTGTGAATGGCCCGGCGTCTTCTGGGACCTGTCATGTGTCCCAGAAGACGCCAGACCATTCACAAAACACAGCGCTTCACGAGCATGTGCAGTGGGCACACGGTTGTCACAGATTCCGGCGTGGGAAGAAGCCGGCGCAAGAAGACTACAGCGCTGGACCGAGGAACAGGTAAGCAGAGAGCAGCTGAGCGGCTGGCCCAGTATTCTGACATGGGGGCGGCGGAAAAAAAAAACCGGACCGACCGCTTTATATTCGCTCCATAAGACGCACTGACATTTTCCCCCCTTTTTGGGGGGGAAAAAGATGCGTCTTATGGAGCGAAAAATACGGTAGTTATACACAGTAGTTAGTTTGAAAAAAAAAAAAGACATTTGCCAATTGAGTTAAACCAACAGAAAAAGAAATCAAGAAACAAATAAAACCAAAACCTGCATCCACAGGACCTAAACCTACAGTTGATCCAGAAGAATTCAAAAAGACCGTTAAAAAGCATAGTCTGATGTGTTCCAAAAAGGAAAACAAAATCCTCCCCGATCCCCAGAGGCGTTCAGATATTCTCTGGATCAACAATCTGCAGTTTTATTGCTTTTAAATATTAATAGCCAATTATATTCTGTGCTTTAGGAACACCAACACCCAATTTGTAAACAATCCACAGAGTTTAAATCTTTTTTCTTCCAAAGCAAAGAGTGTCCTTTTGTCATCTGTAATGACCTTGAAGTAATAACTTTGCATGGAGGTTGCTATATGGACTATTTATGTATTTATACAAGGTAATCCTTTTACCCTGTAAATGCCTCTTCTCAAGGAAGAATTGAAGTGCATGTACACCCTAACAATAATCTTCTTTCAACTTCTTTATTGTGGTCTGTTACTTATACAATAAAAGGTATTTTGTTATATCAGTTTTAAAAAAAAACGACTTGTAGATCTTCAGAGATATAGAGTCATCCCTTGTCCTGTGCACACTTCCCGAGTCTAATTAGCCCTTCCAGATCTTATCTTGGAACACAAAACAATCACTGTGTAATGTCACATTAACCTCCTTGGCGGTATGATTCTTTCAGATTTTTTGTGCTGAAAGCGGTACATTTTTTTGCATGGAAATATGTAGTTTTTTATTGTAGGACTGTAATTTTTAGGAATAACTCACTGAAATCTGTCCGAACAAGAGTCTAGTAAACATTTCGGGTATGATAAAATTTGAAACACGAAATCATAAATTATAATTTAATAAATAATCATAAAAAATAATAATATAATAATAATAAATTTAATACAATAATATAATCAAACCAAAAACACTGAAATTTTAAATATAACGCCAAGTTCGCACATCACTGAGCAAAGTCGTAAAATCGTTTTCAGTGTCTGATGACGAATTTCCCCACAAATCATTATCACTCATTCTGCAAGTGGTTCTGATTTACTATCGCTGTTCTAAAACCGCTTTTGACGTAAAGGGACGCTTTTTGGACGCCATGGACTTTTCTAAGTTTCCAGGCAGAAAGAACATTCAAAATGCAGGCAGGGCGCACAGGACAAAGCAGTAGGGACAAAATATATGTGAAATGCATTGAAACAGCAATGACAGCAAAAATGACATTTTTTTAAAATTTCAAATTTCCCGCCGGTTCCGGCGCCTGTACGTCCCGACGTCACAGGGACCGGAACACAGAAGCCGGATGTCGGCATCGGCCGGAGGAGATGGCCGGGGACGCTGCAGGGGACACATCGCCGGAGCGAAGGACAAGGTAAGTGCTGCAGGGACCCCCTGGGCAACGCCGCATGGTAAGCCCGAGTGTAGCTCGGGGTTACCGCTTTTGGTACTGAAATTTTACCCCGAGCTACACTCGGGAATACCGCTAAGGAGGTTAAAAATGTGCGGTTTTCAGCGTTTTTTTTAGCATTGTTGTATTAGCGTTTAGTGGCGTTGCACCACGGTTTTTTTGCGTTTGCATTTTTTTAGTGTTTTTCTTAACCACAAAAAATGTTTTTCTCTTTTGGGCAAAAAAACCTTGCAAAAACACTGGTTTGCCACGATTTACCACATGTTGCCGCGTTTTTCAGCGTTAGACCGTTTTTACAGCTAAAAAGCTCCTCTAGTAACCCACTAGTTCTGGGTTTTTTCCACCCAAAAAACATCCCTGCCAAAAAACGTTGATTCCAGTCTGTGTGTGTATGGACACATACGATAACATGCTGGGGGGGTTTACTGGCTGTAGAAAAAAACCTCAAAAGCCAAAAACAGCCGCTGTAAAAACATCCCGTGTGCATTCGGACTTAGTGTCTATGCTTTGCAGATGAACAAAGTGAAATGGATAGAGTCGTTTCACAAAACACTCTTTGGACATGACATTGCGCCACGCAGGGAAAAAGATTGTGTGCGTTAAATAATAACATAACATTAACCACTTCCACTCTGGCAGGTTTTACCCCCGTTATGACCAGGCTATTTTTTGCTGTTCAGCACTGTGCTAATTTAACTGGCAATTGTGCGGCCATGCAACTCTTTACCTAAATTAAATGTATATCATTTTTTTCACACAAATAGAGCTTTCTTTTGGTGGTATTTGGTATTTCTTATTATATTTATAAACGAATACGAAGTGCAATTCCTGTCCGAATCACGTGCGGTTTTATGCACTGCAATAGTGTGAACTGGCCCTAAAAGAGACCCTGTAGCCAGGCCATTCATTTTAAAGTGTTACTACTAAACCTGCAACAGTAAAATCAGTCTGTATATGCAGTAAAGCATGCTTGTTATACTCACTGTGGAATCTAAGGGGTTAATCTTCTGCATTGTGTAAAAATGCCATTTGATCCCATCTTTACTGCCCCTCCTCTTGTTCAAATGTCCATGTCTTATCTCCTGATAAGACAGACTGAACTTGTAGCCACATGCACATGCTCAGTTTAGTGTGTATTGCTAGATAGCTTTTTTTTTTCTTGGGAGAGTGCATGTGATTAGCACAGGGCCAATCAGCACTGCCCAGACAGAGGTCAGGGGTTCTGCATCCTCCTAGAGCAGAAAGAAAACTCCTTCTACAAGCTTTAACCAGTGCTCTGCTGAAGTCACAAGACTGTTCTAACTGATGAGAAAAGGTATTTAGCAGTTTATATTTACTAAAATAATTGCATTTCCATGTTGTGTACTGTGGGAGACCAGATATAGTGCAGGATCCTGGGTTTAGTAACATTTTAATATATAATACTGTATATATTTTACACACATATATATTATTACAGGTACTTATATAGCGCTGTCAATGTTTGTAGTGCTTTACATATGTATTGTACATTCACATCATCACATCATTAACTCTCAAGGGGTATACAACCTAAGATCCCTAACTTACATTCATACATACACATACTAGGATTAATTTAGACAGAATCCAATTAACCTACCAGCAGGTCTTTGGAGTGTGGGAGGAAACTGGAGTATCCGGAGGAAACCCACGCAGACACAGGGAGAACATGCAAACTCCAGGCTAATGGTGTGTGGTTGGGATTTGAACTGACGACCCTAGTACTGCCAGGTGGAAGAGTTAACCATTTAGCCACTGTGCTGCCCAAAATAGTAGAAACATATATTAATTAATAATATATGTTTTATATGCAATAAATCATATCCAATAAAAAAAATAAAAAATAAAATTTCCTCATAAGGTCAAAATTCTGCTGCATGTCTTTGGTAACAAAAATCCCAATAAGTGTATATTGATTGGTTTGAATGAAAGTTATAGCATCTACAAACTATGGTATATACATATATTATTTTTTTTTTACTACTAATGGCGGTGATCATGACTAATAGTGGGACTGTGATAGTGTGGTAGGCAATCTGACACTATCTGACACCAGGTGGGAATTGACTAACTGCCATTAACATCTCCAGTGACACTAATACAGTGACCAATGATAATACTAGACACTGTCACTGTACTACTGACACTGGCTATGAGGGGGTAACGTCTCATGTAATCAAGGGGTTAAATGTGTGTTTAACAAGTTTTAATTTGTGTAGGAGGGCATGCTTAGCTGAGAGCACAGCTCTTCTAGATTGAAAAAAAAGGCCAAAGAGAACAACTGGAATGTATGGCATCATTTTGGCCTAGGTCAGAAACCAGGAAGCAACTGAAGAAATATAAAAAAATAATAATTTTAAACAAGAAAATATAATAAACCTTTCTATCTAGTTACTAGTGCTATCAGCATAAGGGTTAAAAATAGTTCACGTTGATTGAGAGAGTTTAGTTCCACTTTAAGATAAGAGTAGGCGGGGTTGACATAAGTATTTGATGCTTGCGCAGTGAACGCAAATGTCATTCAGATCATCTGATGTTATTGTTGCAACCCAGATATCGTATAAAGTATCAGTGCTTGTGAACTACTATGGTGTATTAAATAAAATGATAAAACAATGTATTTAATAATGCTGTGGTTCGCTGACACTTTTACACATACAGTTGCAAGAAAAAGTATGTGAACCCCTTGGGATTACGTGGAGATTTGCATGAATTGGGCATAAAATGTGCTCTGAACGTCATCTAAGTCACAACAATAGAAGAACACAGTCTGCTGAACATAATACTACACAAACATTAGATGCTGCCATGGTTTAATTGCACATAACATGTAAAAATTCACAGTGCAGGGAGGAAAAAGTATGTGAGGCCCTAGCTTAATGACTTCTCCCAGAGCTAATTGGAGCCAGGAGTGAGCCAACCTTGACTCCAATCAGTGTGATGATATTGGATGTGCTGCTGACAGCTGTCCTGCCCTTAAAAAACACACACCTGTTTTGGGTTTACTGGTTTCAAGAAGCACTGTTTGTTGTGAACCATGCCTCGCAGAAAAGAGCTCTCAGAAGACCTATGATCAAGAATTGTTGATTTGCATGAAGCTGGAAAGGGTTACAAAAGTTTCTCCAAAAGCCTTGATGTTCCTGTGTCCACGGTAAGACAGACTGTCTACAAATGGAGAAAGTTTAGCACTGTTGCTACTCTCCCTAGGTGTGGTCATCCTGTAAAAATGACTGCAAGAGCACA